ATCTCAATGGAATACATGAGAACTTCAGATCACAGACCACAGGAGGACATCTGAGATGAGAAAGTAGCATGTTGGGGGCTTTAGGTCTAATATGGGACAAGGATAAGCATGGAAGAAGGAAAAGAGGGGGAAAATGTTAATCCCTTGCAGAAGATATAAATATGTGGATACTTCTAGTTTAAGAAGTGGCTGGAAGAAAGAATAAAGTCACTGGGCAGCTAGTAGGCAAGAAGAAATGGTTAGAGTTGAAAAGCCACCAGAGAAGAGTTCTCTCAGAGTTCTGTCACTTTAAAGTGTTTTCTAGGATTCTGCTCAGCTCCAGAGATCACAAGAGAAGCAGACCATCCCATCAGAAAACAGGTTTCAAGTGGAAATGAACTTCCAAGCAGCTTCTCATCATGCTCAGAAAAATCTAGAGAGGCAGGTAATATGGATTTGTTTGTGTGTATACATACATATAATTCAAATCTGAGACTGAGATATAATCTCCATGCCCCAAGTAAAGATGGCAGAAAAAGGGGTATATTTTCCTTCTAAATTCTATAGTCTAGGGGTCCAAATCCACACCAGCATTTACTTTTTTCCTTCCTCCCCTCCTTTTCCTAAGATAGCGACAGCTCTCTGAGTAGAAAAAAAAATTACTTTGTGTGATTTGACACAGACCAGTAGATGCAAAGGGTGCATGAATGAACAAGCAGGGTGTACTAGTATAACAACAGAGTGCATGATTTAAGAAATTCAAATGCCTGGGTGTATGGCAAACACTGAAGTTACAAAGCATAATCACTACCTAATTCGAAGTATTTAAACCACTCTGATTTGAATAAATATTGATATGTAAAAATTCTTAACAACAAAGTAGCACAACAATTTTTCAGTATACAGTATCCAAGCAAATACCACTTCTGCTAACATAAGACTCAGACTCAGAGACTTCTGAGCAGTGGCATGCTCTGAAGGGGTTGTGATGATGCTCTTTACCTTCCATTATTAAAAACTTTTTCAAAAAACTGTGATGTGGCTTGGCAAAGGCAGGCTTGATGATGTCAACTCCTTTCTCTGTAGAATGGGGTAAATAATAATGCCCCAAATTGCCTTTTAAGATTGTTGTGAGGACCAAATTATGAGAAAATGCTTTGTGAACCAGAAAGTCCCACACAAATGTTAGTTAGAGTAGAGCTCCTGGTTAGGCTGTACTCATGTTTTCAGGCAGGAAAGCCAGTAAGAAAGCTGGTATTTACGTACGACTTCTATATGGCATGTCATCTCACTCAGTACCATCTCAGGTAGAGAGTGATCACACCCCATTTTACATCTAGGACTCACTGAGGCTTAAGTAACTTACATAAGGCAAGCCACCTAGAAAGTGGTAAAACTAGGATCTGAACTTGTCTGCTGTCTCAAAAAAACAGGTATCTTGGCACTAACACCTAATTGATTACTTAGGTCTCAGAAAGAAAAATGAATGACAGTATCCTGGTTTTTATATAACCATAAAGGTTCTCATCACCACCCTCATACTCAAGCTTTCAGCTTTACAAGACATCATATAAAATGTTTTAAACTTTCTGAAAGGGCTAAAGCCAGTGGGATGAAACACTCAGTATGCATTGTGGAGTAGAGCTCGGGAAATAAAAACAAAGGCAGAGATAATCAGTTGAAACAAAAGTAAACAAAACCTCAATAGCTTTGCCTGCCAAAGACTGTATCTCTTAGCCCCAACTGGGCACATGCAGGCCTCAACGACCATTGATTATGATTCAGTGATCTCAAAAGCATCTTTTTATTTTGGTCTTACTTAGTCTGTTTAGTGTTGCTATAAAGAAATATCTGAGGCTGAGTAATTCGTAAAGAAAAGAGGTTTATTTGGCTCACAGTTCTGCAGGCTAAACAAGCATGGCACTAGCATCTGCATCTAATGAGGGCCTCCAGGTGCTTTCACTGCTGGTGGAAGGTAAAGAGGAGCCAGTATGTGCAGAGATCACATGGTGAGAGATTAGAAGCAAGGTCGGGGGAAGTGCCAGATTCTTTTAAGCAACAAGTTCTTGGAGGATCTCTCAAGGGAACCAAAAGAGCTAGAACTTGCTCACTTCCCCTCTCTCAGACAGGACCCTAATCTATTAATGAGGGATCCACCTCCATGACCCAAACACCTCCCATTTAGCTCCACCACCAAAACAGGATAAAATTTCAACATTAGACTTGGAGGGATCAAATATTCAAACCCTAGCACTCATCTAACATCACTCCCAAGATGCAAATTTACTGCTTATGGGCTAGAACTATCCCTATCTTAGCTATAAGGACAGCAGAGGGACCACACTGCTGATTTTTCCTCTGTGTGGTAGGGCACCATGGCAGAATGAAGAAAATGGCATATATGCAGGGGTTGGAGAGACATGGCTATGACCTGAACTCACTGGGTCCCCTGGGCCAGTCCTTGCTTATCCATCTGTAATCCTTCTTCATCTTGAAGCATTTGCCTCTGGAATAATTGAGACTTAGGTAAATTGTCAGCAAATCCTTTGAGCACAGCAGGCACTCAGGAGGGTATAGCTTCTGTATTAATGACTTATGAACTGGCTAATGTCCACTAGTAATTGTTTTTAACAAATAGATATTCTTTGTAGCAGACTAAAGATAATGGTTAAAAACTGCCGCTACTCTTCTCTTTGAGAGGTGAAGCCTAGTTCCTCTTCCCCTGAATTACTGTTGGTCTTACTTCCTCAGACAGTACAATGTGGCATGAGTTATTGTTCTGGGATTTCCAAGCCTAATTCATAGTAAGTCTTTTAATTAAGTATGACCAAGCCTCATACTGGTAGCTGCCATATAAGAAGTCTGACCACTGTGAAGCCACCATGTTGTGGGGGAACCAAAACTTTCCATGTAAGAAGGCCTCAGGGAGCCCTCAGCCATTGGAATCATTCCAGCCTTGGTCTCAAACACTCTGCAGTGAAGACAGTAGCCTCTGCTAAGCCCTGCAGATTACAGATTCATGAGCAGAATAAATGTTATTGCTTTAAGCCACAAGCTTTTAGACTAGTTTGTTACATAACAATGAAAAATCAGAATACTCAATCATGGTTTTTTTATCCCAATTAAAAATACCATATTTTTTTATATATTTTTATAATATGAGTTATATAAAATATGAGTTACATAAAATAACATATTGCATGTGATGATGTTACTTCTCAAGTCTATTTTAGACATAAACTAAATGTCTTAAAAACGTTTGTTCGTGGACAATGTTAATACACACATAACTTAGTAACTGGCTGACCAGTGACATATAAGAGATATTGTGCATATATTCTTCTCAGTAATCGGGGTGGTTTAGTGAGGGCCACTATCTACCTCCTAAGCAGGGAAACTACCTGTTCTGGACTATTTGCATTTCCCAGCAAGCTTTGCAAACAGCAGTTGTTAAGACACAGTTGATTTCTGTAGCTAGTCAGATGATGTTTGAAATCCTTTCAGCATTCATAGTAGCTCAATTTAGGAGGATGGACCTCATCATAGGATAAGAGTTGTCTCTCAGGACTGCAAAATAATTTACTGGTGCCTTTCAAATAACATATGACCCCAAAATATTATGCAAACTTTGGGACATACAATCAGCATAGGTGAACTCAACAAACATTTTGCTGTTCCAAAATCTACTCTGTTGTTCTTTATTTCTTGTTTTTCTGGCGATAAGGCCTGCCTCCCCTTTTCTGAGGGGTATGTGTGCATGTGTGTATGTAAAATCCTATTTATCCTTCATACGACTCCTATCAAGGCAGAGTTAATCATTCCTTGATGACATTGCTTCTTCAATCTTTAAAGCCTATTCTGCAACAAACAAGCTTATCATTTTTTAAAAAGCAACAAACTGATAGTCCCACAGAACACATGGAAAGGGAACATGCGAGAGTCCCTATAATACTTGGCAACTTTCCACCAGGCTGAAACAGGCTGATGTGGTATGTTTTAGGGACTAGAATTCAGCAGAAGAAATGAGTCAATTAAAACACTCGGCCAGAATGCTGTCTGTAGATAAAGTGCTTTGCACTAGGGGTACAACATAAGCTGAATTACTAAATTCTAAGGGCTGGCTGACTGGTGATTTGCATCTCAGTATCTTTCCATTTTATTCTCTCAACAAAAGTTAACAAGGAGCCACTCAGCCTGTGAAAGATAGGTACTTCATTTACCTTAGCAAGAACGAGACAAACAATGAACTCACAATTTTCCAACTCACTGGCTTTGGTTTGACCTGGAGTGGGTAATGCCTATTGTTCTAAGTGGGTTAACTGGAACATCAAACCCACCAACTGGTTTTGGTTTTTACATTCATTCAGCAGCAATTCTAATCCCAAAGGAAGTACAATCACTACATGGCAATTGGTGCTTTGTGGCACTATACCCAAAACACATGAGCAATGTGCAGAAAGAAAGTCATAATTGAACACTCTTTATTCTACCACAAAACCAAGAAGTCACAGTTTTACTACTTGTTATTTGAGAACCTTTTAAAACTATGCATAACATTTCAAGCCAAAGGCTGTATGGCAACAGGTTTTATGTGTTAAAATACAGAAAATACAGGCTACAATTTCCTCTCCATGAGGAATCTACAGAAGGTCATCCTGGAAGAACACCAAACCAAAGGCAATGATGTTTTTGGACACTCATTCTCAAATTAACTATGGTTAACATGTCAATTTAGAATTATTATAATGGAGTTTACGTTATAACTGATGTCCAAGTTATAACTATAACTGATGTTACAACTTCCCTTTGGAATTCAGGAACAACTGACCAGCATTAACATTAAAACAGAGATCTTAGAATGACTTAATGCTTGATACTTCATCTAGATAAGGCAGAGTGAAACTTTACCGTCCTCTTTCACTGATTTAACCCTGGTCTTCATCCAAAAAGTAAATTCTCGGTACTCAGCAAATAACAACATTGGTATAATTTAGGAAAGAAGAAATGCAGTGTCAACTTACTTAACAGTTGGCAATAGAGGGCCTGTAAACTTCTCTTCATGGTATCATCTGGTCCTGCTTATCCTCCAGTTTATTCATGATTCTGTCTAGGAAATTGGGAGAAGAAAATTGTTACATCTGAGGAACATAATTGAAAAATCAGTAAGGACCCCACTCAATAGGGTCTTAGTTGTAAGGCCTAACATACACAATTTCGAAGAGAAAAAAATCTTGGGATAAATACACCACAGTTTAATTTACAATGGTGTATGTTGTAAAATTACCAACTAATCAACTGGTCAAACCCTGAAACTATACACCCCACTGAAGGAAGCTCATAGGGGCAGCTAGTGAGAAATCTGGGTTCAGAACTGAAGACTTTTCATGAATCTCTCCTGAATCTCTGTAGTCATAGGAGAACCAAAAAATTTCTTTTCTAATCTAATTTCTGCTAAGGCACTCACAAAACAAGCAAACACCCAAATAAAACAAACAAAAAACAAGACAGAAAGCTTTGCCACACTTGAAACTGTATTATTTTAAATAACTTTTCTATTATTTTCCGATTACATGGATACTTCTTGCATGGCATATTTAGAAAAAATAAACAAAAAACAGAGATGAAAATTAACAAGAAAATACGTATTATGCACAATCCCACAAATAAGAGGTGATTACTGCTCAGATTTTAGAGTATATCTCTTTAGCCTTTTGAATGTGCACTTTCTATTGGTCTGTTTCATTTTATATATTACACATTTTAATTTTTCTCCCTAGCAGCAGAAATATCTTTCTGTGTTGTTACTATTACTTTACAGTTTTATTTTACATGGCAAACTGTATCTTTAAGATAAATTCCTAGAAATGGAAACACATTACGGAAGGACATAAATTAAGGCTTTCTGAAATAAATATATTTCCAAATTGCTCTTCACCAATTCAAGTATATTAGAATAATCATTAAACTACACTTTACCCAATGAAGAAATTAACAATTTCATCTCTGCCAATAGGCAAATATTCCATCTCAATGTTTTACTTTTCATTTTATGTTTATTAGTCATTTGTACATAAAAGTTTAAAAATTTGTATTTCTTAACCGTTCTCTACTATCATCCTAGGTTTTATTTTTCCTCATGACACCCCAAGTAGAACTACCTATCTTTAAAATATTTTTTTATTAAGATATAACTCATATGTAAAATTCAGCCTTTAAGGTATACAATTCACTGATTGGCAATATATTCAAAAGTTGCCCAACCATCACCACTACCTAATTCCAGAATATTTTCATCACTCAAAAATGAAATCATCATGTTCACTTCACTATCAGTCACTCCCCATTTTCCCCTCCTTTGGCAACCACTAATCTATTGTCTTTACCGATTTGCCTGTTCTGGACATTTTATATAAATACAAGCATACAGTATGTGTCTAGCTCTTTCACTCAGCATAATGTCTTCTTTCTTTCTTTTTTTTTTTTTTTTTGAGATGGAGTCTCACTCTGTTGCCAGCCTGGAGTGCAGTGGCGCAATCTCAGCTCACTGCAACCTCGGCCTCCTGGGTTCAAGCAATTCTCATGCCTCAGCCTCCCAAGTAGCTGCAGTTACAGGCACGTGCCAACACACCCAACTAATTTTTGTATTTTTCATAGACAAAATAAAATCCTTTATTAAGGATTTTAATAAAATGATCTTAAAGTTAATTTTGGAGGGGGAAAAGAAACAAGCTCAAATAACAAGACAAATCTTTTTAAAAAGAGTAATAATAGAGAACTAACTGTACCAGTGGTTTAATTTAAACACTTACTGTTCTACTTGAAGAATGAGCAAACGGAGAAATAAAACTTAATACAAAGTTCAGAAACAGACTGTTGATGAAAAAGCTAAACTTCATAAAATAATTGACGAGATTTCTTCTGAGCCAAATGTGAGGAAGATGACCGGTAACAAAGCCTGAGGAGGTCCTGAGAACATGTGCCCAAGGTGGTTGGGTTACATCCTGGTTTTGTAAGTTTTATAAAACATCAGTCAATACATGTGAGGTATAGACTGTTTCGGTTTAGAAAGGTGGGACAACTCAAAGCAAGGGCTTACAGGCCATAGGTGGATTCAAAGATTTTCTGGTTGGCAGTCAGTTGAAGGAGTTATTAATATTATTTGAAGACATAGAATCAACAGAAAGAAGTGTCTGGGTTAAGATAATGGGTTGTGGAAACCAAGGTTCTCATTATGCACAGAAAAGTGGCTGCCCTTAGAGGTAACAGATGGCAAATGTTTCCTATTCAAACATTTAAAAGGTGCCAGACTCTCAGCTAATCTCCCCAGGGTCAGAATGTTCTGGAAAGGCAATGGGATTCTCTATAGTATGTAAATTTCCTCTCCAAGAGATAGCTTTGCAGGACCATTTAAAATACATCAAAAAAATATATTTTTGGGTGAAATACTCTGATTTTTTTCAGGGCCTGCTATCCGTCATGTAATGCTATACTAGAGTCAGGTTGGAATTTGGTATCTTGTTACTACAAACAGTCTGTTCTGTCAGTCCTAAGATCGCTGTTTTAATGTTAATGCCAGTCAGTTTTGCCTGAATTCCAAAGGGAAGAAAGCATAATGAGGCATGTCTGACCTCCACTTCCCATCATGGCCGCAGCGAATTTTTCAGGTTTCTTTGGAATTCCCTTGGCTGAGAGGAGAAAGCCATTCAGTCAGTTGGGGTGCTTAGATTTTTATTTTTGGTTTATATTATCTAAGAATACAAAAGTATTCAGAATGTAATAAATGAAATAAAAAAATACCGGAAGTGTATTAGTTTGTTTTCACACTACTACTAAGGACATATTCAAGACTGGGCAATTTACAGAAGAAAGAGGTCTAACAAACTTACAGTTCTACATGGCTGGGGAGGCCTCACGATCATGGTAGAAGGCAAGGAGGAGAAAGTCACATCTTATGTGGATGGCGACAGGCAAAGAGAGAGAGCTTGTGCAGGGAAATTCTCTCTCTTTTTTTTTTTTTTTTTTTTTTTTTTTTTGAGATAGAGTCTTGCTCTGTCACCAAGGCTGGAGGGCAGTGGTGCAATTTTGGCTCACTGCTACCTCCGCCTCCTGGGTTCCAGAGATTCTCCTTCCTCAGCCTCCTGAGTAGCTGGGATTACAGGTGTGCTCCACTACACCTGGCTAATTTTTGTATTTTTAGAAGAGACAAGGTTTTGCCATGTTGGTCAGGCTGGTCTCAAACTCCTGACCTTGTGATTCACCTGCCTCAGCCTCCCAAAGTGCTGGGATTACAGGCGTGAGCCACCACACCCGGCCCCTATTTTTAAAACCATCAGATCTTGTGAGACTTACTCACTTTTATGAGAACAGCATGTGAAAGACCCACCTCTATGATTCAGTTACCTTCTACCAGGTCCCTCCCACAACACATGGGAATTCAAGATGAGATGTGGGTAGGGACACAGCTAAACCATATTAGGAAGAAAATATGGGCAAGAATTTATGTAATCTTGGACTGAGGAAGGCCTTTGTAACCATGAAAGTGTGTCTGTGGGGTAAGTAGAATTCTTATTGAAAAAGCACTTGAAAACCTGGAATGTTATATAGCATTGATGAATCTTAAAAACATTATACTGAGGCCGGGCATGGTGGCTCATGCCTGTAATTTCAAGACTTTGGGAGGCTGAGGCACGTGGATCATGAGGTCAGGAGACTGAGACCATCCTGGCCAACACGGTGAAACCCCATGATTATAGTCAGAATTATCTTCTATTTGCTTTATTAATTTGGAAGAGAATGACTTGATCTCATCAAAATCCATCTGGGGTGAGGAAGAACATAAGTATTCCAAAACTTACTGCTCTGGAAATCATAAAAGTTCTTTTTGGGGCTGGGAAGTGCTCTTTTTTGGGGGAGAGGGGTAGAAAAGCTCAGTGACTTCTTTGGTTAGGCAAATTCATCCCCCACCACCAGTGTGATTTGTATGAGGAAGAAAAAGAGAGACAGCTAAAGTGCTTTTCATTATACAAAAATTAATTACGACCTTTGAGTTTCCAGAGGCTATGGCTAGGAAACAAGAGTTAAAGAGTCTAGAAACTAGAGAAGCTGAGGAGATAATACACAAGAGATACTAAGAGACAGAAAGAGACAACTCCAAAAGATGGTAGCAGGTGGGACCTAAGGAAGACAGATAAAGTGAGAAATTCCCCATAAGAAGATGCCTCATGAATGTTAAAATGTCTAGTATTTAATTTTTCATTGCTTATTGTTTTATGTTGTTTGTACTATATGTGTATTAGTCTTTTTTCATGCTGCTGATAAAGACATACCTGAGACTGGGTAATTAAGATAAAGAGTTTTAATGGACTTACAGTTCCACATGGCTGGGGAGGACTCAAAGCATGGTGGAAGGCAAAAAGTATGTCTTACATGGCAACAGGCAGGAGAGCAAAAAAGCCAAGCTAAAGGGGTTTTTCCTGATAAAAGCATCTGATCTCGTGATACTTATTCACTACCATAAGAACAGTATGGGGAAAACCACCCCCATGATTCAATTATCTTTCACCAGGTCCCCCTCTGCAATACGTGGGAATTATGGGAGCTACAATTTAATATGCTACATCTGTATTCCTTCTCCAAAATGCTCATTCACCACTAGTATTATCAAAACCTCAGTAAAAGTCTGCACGAAACAGTCTTGTATTAATGATGCTTGACAGGGCTAATGAAAGAGAAGAGATCCTGTCCCAAGCCAAGGGTAACCCAGGAGGAGTCAGAGGCAGAAACCCTAGGAGCCACAGCAATGGTTAGTTGGTATCTATGGAGTGTTTAGAATATGGTAAGCATTCAATAGATGATTAGTAAATAAACAATGAATGAATAAATAATCATTAATAAATGATCAATAACAAGGGAACAGAGAAACTGTTGTGGTTTAATATAATGATTGAAGGGATCATAAAGCCTTCAAAAGTCTCTGAAAATTCTTACAGATTTTTGAAAAAGTGACAGACTTCCCATAACACATGGAATAGATCCACTTTATTCAGTTATCAAAAACAACTGAGTTTATAACTCTGGGAGATTTAGGATCAACTGGGTTACACAGGG